CCTCTTTACCCAGATTAGTATTATCAAGTAAGAATATCCAGATTAACTATACAGTCAATCCTCTCAATAATGGACTTCTCATTACTGGATATTCTCATTAACAGAATCCTCCCAATAGAGGACAACGCTTGCAAGAATTAGTCCGGTATTGGTTGGGTTTACTGTATTATTTTTTGTTCTTGTTGATTGATGAGTGATAGTGTTATTAAGAAAGTTCTCAGATGAATGACAGATGTGTATGGTATTACAGTAAGTAGATGGATATAACCTACTTTAAATGAGTCTCTGATAATGGTGTTTGATCCTTTAAATTAATCCAGAAGAAGATCCAGTATTTTTAAGGAAGGGTTGCTTTTACTTTTACCAAACTTCCACTATAGTCACAAAGCTTAAGAACATTATTGAGGGAAAGTTTATGCATTTTTTTATCACAGGACAATGGACTGTAGTGGATCACAGTCTCATTCCTGTATAATTGTGGGAGATTTTATAAAGATTGTGGAGTATTGGTTTATAAGATACAGTTTCACGAGTAGTGTTGAACCCCTTACCTCCTGCAGGTGAAGTGGTCGTACAATAACTACGTCAAGGACATGCCTCCCTACAAAGACCCGAATACCCAGCGTGAGTATCTGTGTCTTTGATCCAGGCAGAAATCCACTGGAAATCAAATCCTAATTTTTTTTTTCGGTGTTATAATCTTTCTATGGCTGACACTACTATATTATAAAAATCCTTCGGAATGGAGTACGTACTGTGGTCGTCAACCCTTAGACATGAGAATGGCACAGAATAATTGATTGACTCTAGGTTTAAAGTGGAATTATGAGATCTGTAATAAAATAAAAAATTTCTTGGATTTCCTTTGGGCATTGATAAAATCAATGCCCAAAGGAAATGGTTCACATATGAGATCATGCTCACACTACTAATTTCATATTGCTGAATTCGAATCTGATATTTGTTTTGTTCTATCAGACCAGGTTTTATAAAAAAAATCAATAGGTACAAATATTTAATATTCCATCACGTGTCGTGCAAAAGATGAGATTATCTCATGTGACTGTGCTTTTATGACTAATTTCATGCTAATGAATATTAATTGGATGTTTCATTCTACCATCAGACCTACTTTCTTAAAGAATAGTGATATGCACTCCATCTTCTAGCAGGTTACGCTGCTTTAGTCTGGATCCCAAAACTTCAGCCTTTTCTTTTGAAAAGTTTAGGTCCCTGATGAGATCATGAAGCGCTTCTTGAGCAAATAGTTTAGGCCTGGTATTTTCAGAGTCATCCTGGTAGTCGTTTTCCATTGAGGTAGAGGTAGAATCGGAATCACTCAATTCTTGTTCAGTCGGTGGATTTGGGACTGGAAGTTCAGCACTGTGCGGTACTGGTCGGATTGCAGAAGCAATATTGGGGTACTGTACCTTGCCTCGTGTCTTGATTTTTATTCCCTTAATATTTGTGAGACAGAAGTAGCAGTCACTACTGTGGTCTTTAGGTTCACGCCATATCATTGGTACAGCAAACGGCATTCCTGAACTTCGTTTACCACACATCCACTCGCTCAGGTGGTTAACACAAGACTTACAGGCTACATGAGGTGCCCATTTCTTGTCTTGGTCACCCAAATGACATTTGAAGTAACTTTTGTAGTTCAGTCGAACAGCTTTTGTGATTGGTTTCTTGAGGCTACCAGGAGTGAAGGCACCACATATGTAGCAAAAACTGTCAGCACCGTTCACACACTTGCGACGTTCCATGTTTTGTTAATTTCAGAGTAATTACAAATCATGCAGGTGTAGATATGCAATATCATGAATCAGCAAACTGAAACAAACAAAAAAGCACAAATCAGGACAAAATAATTGCATAAGTGGAGCCAATGAGCATATAAATTAGTGTATGAATAGCATGGTACACTAAATATATAGATATGCTGGTTCTGGAAAACTGAGCCTGATACAGCTATACGAATGTCATAATTGAGTTCAGCACATACAATTACACTAGAATCAAACTGTTTTGATCCAGAACCATGAGAAATTTTTTTTTATGTTGACCAGTGTTATATATCTACAGTGAAACTTCTATTTAACGGACTACATAGAGAAGAAAGTCTGTAGGGGTATCGAGATATTAATGTTGTCTAGCACTCAGGATGGAAGGAAACTCTAATGTGGTTTTCTTGTATAATATAAGTTATATGATAGACAGTCTGGTGCTGGAGGTGCAGAATGAGAGTTGGTTGGTGAGGAAGCTCAGAGAAGGACAGCTGGTGGGTCGCCATGCTCGCTGGCGGGAGCGAGGACCGCCAGGCAGGCGAGGAGAAGCGAAGGCTGCCAGGCAGCGGCGGAGGAGGAGGTGTTGCTTGTTCAGGAAGAATGGTCAGAATGAATCTCAATGGAGAGACAGAGCTTATATACCCAGCAGCAGCCGCTATGAGTCATGTTGGGAAAACCCAGAAAGTCGCCGGTGACTGGTTCCGTTGCTAAGATACGGTAACATCTGGTTGGTTGCTAGGGAAGGCGGCACATTGGAATGAGATACGCAGTTTGTAGGGGAGACGTCCACTACAAGTCCATTATATCGAGGGTCTATTAGATAGAAAACCTCCATGCTACAAAATATATATGGAGATGAAAGTCCATTAAATAAAAAATCTATTAGATGTGAATCCTCCATCTAATGAACTATATAGAGATGAAGGTCTGTAATATCGAGGGTCTATTAGATGTGAATCCTCCATCTAATGAACTATATAGAAATAAAATCTGTTATCTGGAGAATTTACTGTATTAGTTTCCCTGAATAATAGACCAATACTTATGTCTTCATTTCTTACAGTCGGTTTGTGATGCAGCGGCCGAACGAGTACCTCAACGGTGCCTTCCAGAGAGACGAGAAGGACGAGGTCAACCACGACACGTGTTATCTGGTCTACAGGTTTTGTTGTTATTTCTGTGTTTATTACTTTTACTTTTATCCTCTTCGCCACTGATCGGCTTGTTAGCCGCTTGGGCGATCGGTCACGTCTCTTTTCCTTTATATTCTTCACCAAAAGGTCGGCTCGCTAGCCGCCCAGGCGATCGGTCACGTCTCTGTCACGCACTGTTGGCAAATACTGGGCATGCACCGGCTCCTGAATGTACCTGAACCCGCTCCAGTGCTTGGTCAAGTCTTCTTTGAAAGAGCTCACACTCGTGCCGTCACAACACTCTCTGGTAGATTGTTCCAAGAGTTTACAACCCTCACTCCGAAAAAGTTTGCCCTCACGGTTTTCTGGACTTGCGGCTTCTTCAATCTTGAGCTGTGACCCCTTGTGGGGCGAGCGTCCGCCAGCTCCAAGTAAGGACACTCAACTGAGTAGTGCCCCCTGAGATGCTTATAAACCTCAACTAGGTCCCCCCTTGCCCGTCTGTAGTATAAGCTAGGCAAGTTCAGGCGCTCCAATCTCTCAGGGTAGCTGAGGTGCCGAAGTGCAGGCACCAGTTTGGTGGCCCTCCTTTGAACATTTTCAACCAACTGACAGTCCCTAGCATATCTCGGGGACCAGATGGGGTGACAGTACTCCAGATGGGGAAGCACTTCACTCCTGAAGATCGTCACGAGGGACGGACCGTCTAGATATCTGAACGACCTTCTTATAAGACCCAATAATTTATTTGCCTGATTTACCTTCTTCTCACAATGGCCCGAGAACTTCAGCTCAGTGTCAACATACACACCTAGGTCCTTCTCACACACAGTCTCAACTAGTACATTTTCTTCATCCCGTTGGGACATATGGTACGCCTCCTTACCGTTGGTACGCCCCAGGTGCATCCTCTTACACTTCGTGACATTGAATCTCAGCAGCCATTCCTTCGACCATTCATGGAGCCCACAGAGGTCCTTCTGCAGCTCTTCACACTCCGCTTGGTTCTTAATTTCCCGAAATAACTTGGCGTCATCGACAAACATTTGTATGGAGGAGTGTACAACGTCAGGCATATCATTTATGAAACAAACAAACAACAGCGGGCCCAATACACTACCCTGCGGTACCCCACTTGTTACAGGTACAGATGACGATTTCGTGCCATTAATCACCACACATTGCTTGCGGTCATGTAGAAAGTCTTCTATCCACGCTAGGACATTTCCCCGAATTCCGTACCCTTCCAGTTTGATTTTCAGCCTTTCGTGGGGTACACTGTCGAAAGCCTTGGCAAAATCTAGGTAAATATTGTCGATATTACCACCCCGTTCTAGAATATGGGTCCAAATATCCAATACCTTGAGCAATTGTGTCAAGCAAGAGCGCCCCGGCATAAAACCGTGTTGGCAATCTTTTACAAGGTTGTTTCGTAGTAGATGTTCCATCGCTGCATCTCTGATAATACTCTCAAGTACTTTACATATTATGCTGGTCAGGCTCACCGGTCTATAGTTGTTCGTGTTGAATATGTAATTTCTTTGTTACTTTTAGAAAATAATATATAAATATTCTTGTTAAAAACATATGTGAGACTTTCTATTTATACTGAGTATGTAATTTATTTATGTTGATAATTATAAAAGTGTTATTATAGTGGACTGTATGACAGAAAAGATAGAGATGAGGGGCCGGATACTCAAAAAAATTTATGGGACTGTATGTCGTTGCGTACCCGTAGCTGGACTCACAGTCTCAGATTGGCATACTCAAAACACAGATGGTATACTCAAAACCAATATTTGACATCGAACTCCGTAAGTTAACGCAAGTAACTTACACCAGCTCCCGAGGTTGTGTAACACTCTCAACCCGGATGTAGTAGTGACTAATTCCCGATTGTATAGAAAATAATAATAATAATATATGTTGTAATAATGCTTGTTAGACTTGTTTTATCATAGAATAAAGAAGAAAATGTTTTGTACATCAACATACTGAAATATAATATTTCACTTTGTCTTTTTCGTAACTTTTTTGTTGTATAATAAGCGGCTTGAGTGTTTGTATTTGTCTCAGTTTGGAAGAGACGCATCTTTTGTCTTCTTACACATTATAAAGTATTTCTTACCAAAATAGAAGGTTTGTATTGTTCACACTTAGGGTAAAAATATGTTTTATGACTGAGTAAACTTGCAGATAGAACTTATTAATGTTGTATAGCCGTAAATATCCCTCAGTAATGAAAGCCAAATATGAGGTCAAGTGAACATTCCTGCCAAGACTTCGCCTTGTTTTTCTAATATTCAACCAATAGCCTTAGCCTATTTTTTTATGTATATAGCTTATGATAACATGAAAGGCTATAAATTTCCATAGGCTAGCCAAAATTAAATGATATTAGGTGTAAAATATGGATTGCAATTACCTTGATTAATAGGTGCCTATATAACTGCTTTTTCAGTCTTAGGCAAATAAATGTTTAAACGTGGGGCCTACTTAATTTAGTTAGAACATGAGGATTATTTAAATAAGAAATTATACTAATAGGGTATAGGTTAGATAGATAGGTTTGGTTATGTTATGTTATGGTATGTTAGGTTAGAGAATGTGTACATGGTTTTTAGGTGAGCGTCAGGCCGTCAGTGAGACACTTAGTCCATTAGCTACCTTAGGCCTAGTTCCAGACTTTCTTTGAACATTATCATAGGTAGAGTATTAATTTAAGAAAATTTACGGCTAATCCGATAAATTTTCAGGTTTTAAATTGTTGTTTTTTGTATGAACTTGAAGACAATTCAGACCAAATGTTCCCAACATTGAAAGGAAAACACCAGGGTCTAGGCTAAATGAGTAATTTAAGAGAAGTGATTTGTCATTTAGGTTAGGCAAGGCTATGTTATCAATAACCAATTTATTTGAATTTGCCCAGAATAAGGCTATCTTAGTATAGCTTATGTGTCTTGTCACAGGCCAACATTATGCAAGGGATTATTTACCTAAATTCTAGTGGGGTAAAACACCAAATACTGTGAGATCTCTGTTAGCCAGAACAATTGGTGAAGAGCACTACCGTGAATGAATGAGTGTTTTCCCGTTAACGAGACAGTTATCACAAATCAAGAAAATATCCCTCATCCCCAGAATGTTTATGGTAATGGAAAAATTTTCTCGGTAGTTCCTGCAATTGCCCATTACACCATCTCTCGAACCCAGAAATATATCCCCCATCTCACTGAAATTAGGTCGTCTCTTCTTGGCTGGTGGTCCTTCCATGTTTACAAAATAATATTACGTGCGTCGCTCTCAGCTGATTTCTCCTTCTCTTGTGATTGGTTGATGATTTTGTTAACTGAGCGTTGATTGGCCAACTAGCATCTGCACTGACATCTACCGTCCGACAAGAGAACTTAATTTACAGGGTAAACACTAGAGTTACGAGAACTTACGGAAGGCTTACGGAACCATAATTAAATTTTGAGTTTGCTAAATTTATGGTAGTGTAAGGCTTCCACAATATATGGTACTGTATCATGCTGAAAAACGTAACTTATGAGGTGTTTTGAGTATCCGGCCCGAGATTCTGATTTGGTCTCATTTTCCAACCTGCTGCTAAAATAGATAAAGTACAAAATTGATAATATATTTCTTAACTGTAAATAAAGAATAAAAAATAGATTCTTCAAGTATAATTAATCCCAGGAAAGTATAGTAGCAGTGTTTGATGTTTTTAAGTATAATGTAAAATATCATCAAATTACAGTACCTTCTTTCTTCCATCAGTTTCCAGTCGGCTCCGAGAGTTCCCTCTTCTTCAACTCCGTGGTAGACGTCTTCACTCGGCTGACTCGGTGTTGTCTCTAAGCTCCAGTGTCCAGACCCTGAGATCTGGAAAAGATTCATCAAGAGATTTGCCAAGACAATAGTCAAGGTGCTCTTAGCCTATAATGATATTGGCAAGAAAGAATTTACTAATTATGTCCGTGATGAGAAAAAGGTCCGTGTTAAGAGGACTTGGATATATTTTATAGTATCTGTGTATCAGTCTATCCATTTGCCTGTTTATCACTTATCATTTTAACTCTGTATAAATACATTATCTTCAATTAGGCGTTGTGGCCATTTTTTGTTTTTGTTTACGTTATTCTAATAATTTGGTGACTTTACGACCCACTAGATAATACTGTCATTCATTTTTCTCTGTCCTATATAATACACACTAAAATTTGTACAATCAAGTGAAGATGAGATCACCCAGTTTATTATTAACCAGCTGTCATCCAGCACTCATGGTAAACCCACACAAGCATGGAAAAATGGCCATAAGACATTGATGATGATGATGATGATGTAACCTAACCTAACCCCACCCAGCTAGCTGTTATATATGTGTATGTTTATATGCTGCCTTTATTGATTATATATACAGTTGGTCCTCACATTACGCGGTTAATGTAACCCGGAGGGTCCCGCGGAAAGTGAGGAACGCGTAAAGTGAACAACATAACATATGGGATTAATTGAAATGGAGTCCAGGCCGATCCCCAAACTCCACTTTTTGACGGCACACAACTATGTTGTAGTAAAAATTTTATCTTAACTTTATGATGGTATGAAAAAACAAGTAATATAGAAGAGGTTAGGTTAGGAAAGATAAAGGTTAACATAGGAAAAATAAAGAATAGGTTAAAAAACTAAAAATTTTGTGTAACACTTACGGTAGTAGAAGAGATGGGTCGGCATACGGGGATGGAGGCTGGTTCCGAGGCAGAGGGCAGATTACTGGCCCTCAGGTGAATCACCATTACTAGGTGAATCATCATCACTGTCACTTACAGTTGTCAGGGCTTCCCTGACAAATCCCTCAAAGTCAACTTCACTGTCACTATCACTGGCTTGGGCTGGCTGTGGTGGGTTGCGGGTGAAGAAATCTGTTATGCTTTGCTGACGGCTGGCGTTGATGTTGTCGTGATACACCTTGATGTACGGCTCCATAGCCTGCACCAGCCGGTTATGGAAGACTTCATAGCGGTCATCGTCATTGTCGCGGGAAAGGAAGGACTTCATCTTCTCTGCACACTCCATGGCACCCTTAATATCACTATGACTTAAATTGTGTTCTTCGGAGACTGACGCACCTTCTTCCTCCTCTTCACTGACGTGTTCTTCTTCCATCATCTCGTCGGCAGTCACTTCAGGATCTCTGATCACCTCCAGGATATCGTCGTTGGTGGTCTCGGAGAAGCCTGGAACTGTAACAGTCTGCGCAGCTTCTCTGGCAAGGTCCACTGCTACTGCAACATTCTGAACCTCACCAGTCACAGATTGACTCCTCCTTTCACCTGGTGTTCCATGCAACACATGTCTCCATGCGTGACGAATTGTAGCAATAGACAGCTGATCCCATGACTCCACCAAGATGTCCACAGCTTTCTTGATGTTAAATACTCTCCAGAATTGTTTGAAGAGTATTTTTTGCTGTTCTAACCGTTGTTCCTCATCTTCGTCGCTCTTGCTATCGGTGGTGGTGTCACTCAGGTCACGCAACTCTTCCCTGGTGTTGGTGTAGTCGTTCAGGAGCTGGAATTTTTTTGTTGAGAATGCAGCTTTCACATTGCAAATCAACTCCTGGTCCATGGGCTGTAATATAGACATAGTGTTGGGAGGAAGGAAGACCACTTTTACGTTGGGGTGACGATCTAACAGTAGGGGCGAGTGTCCTGGTGCGTTGTCCAGCAGCAACAAAATATTAAATGGGACATTCTGTTGCTCACAGAATTTCTTTACATCGGGAACAAAACAGTCATCAAACCAGGAGAGGGACAGTGTAGAGAACATCCATGCCTTACGTGCTGTCAGCCAGTGGACATTTAGCTTGGTCATGTCCATGGTTTTGTAGGCGTGCGGCTTGCGTGCTGTGTGGATCACCGATAACTTGAGCTTACAGGTACCGGAGGCATTGGTGGCAAACAGGACGGTGATGCGTTCCTTCTGCATTTTCCGGCCCCGAATCCTGCTGGCATTCTTCACAATGTAGGACTTGGAAGGTAGTTTTCTCCAGAAAAGACCAGATTCGTCCATGTTAAACACCTGGTCGTCACTGTACTGTCCTTCCTCCATAATCTCACGTAAAAACGGAGGAAATTCCCGAGCCGCAGCACGATCAGCACTCGCTTCTTCACCACCAATGTTTATATTGGTGATCTTGTTCCGGATCTTAAACCTCTGTAACCACCCAGAGGAAGCAGTAAAGGGTTTGGGCTCTGTAATTCCCATCTTTCGTGCCACTGCCATGTACAGTTCACGTGCGTAGTCCTTCACAGAGCGCGTGTCGACCGCCATGTTCCGTCGCGCCTGACGCACCAAGTACCTCACAAGTAATTTTTCTGTCTTGATAAGCACCTGGTTGTGAAAATACTTGATCATAGAAGCACCTGCAGACTTTGTGATTTTCATGTGCTCTTTGATCTTGGCTGCATCCTTCTTGATCGTGCGAATCGTAGATTCGTTGACGCCATGCTGGCGCGCGAGATCAACTTGCCGTGTTCCTTTCTCCAAATCTTGAATAATTTGGTACTTCACCTCGTAGCTTAAGGAACGTCGTGTCTTCTTTGGCTTAGTGCCGCTGGGTCCAGGCAAGGAAAGGTTTTTCTCTGGGGGTGGTGGTCCGGCGGAAGCCATTTTACGGAACAATGGATGCGCGTTAACACGGAGTGGCCTTGAGGGATGAGACTGTCGCGGCTAGGTCAAGCGTCGTCTTTCCTCCCTCCCTCCCTCCCCCGGGTGGACACGTCATAATACTTTAAGCCAATTACAGCTAGCAGCAGAGGAGGGTAGGGATGCATGGCCAATCACAGGTCTTGTACGTCATATGACGTCAGTGATTACACAACAACAACAACTATAAACCATCTGAGTAAGAGTCAGAATGTGGCTTCTCATTCTCCCATTAAATCATGTAAGATACTACACTGTGTTAGGGTATTTAATCATCAGGTGAAATAAGTTGGAGTATCTAATCTTAACTTTATCTTAATTTTATGCTGATGAACTTTTCATTGTCCTCCTTAAGGAAAACATAATTAACTTGTATTGAGAACTTTGCCAGAGATGATTTTTTTCAGTAAAAACATCATCTTGTACCGAGACGTTTCCCTCTACACCAAAAGTTTTACCTCATAATTATATTAAATACTAGCGGAATCGCTGCCCTCCGGGCAGCTCTTTCGCTAGACCACGGTAGGACGCCACCCTCCGAGAGGCTCCACATTGTCTCACTGTAGACCATTAAGGTGTCTGCTTTGATCCAAACTTTGTACTCGTCAGAAGGCATGTTTTCCAGGGCATTTTTAAATGACTGTACATACGTGTTGCGCTCATGCAGCATTTCTTGGATAGATAGGACAATGTCATGTCTGACACCTTGAATGTTGCCACACCTGATAGTAGTCTGCTTTTCGTGATCTCCCATGAAGTAGATTTGGAGGAACTTTGCCTGCTCATCTTCCAGTGGTAAGAGGGATCCTGCTTTGTGAGACTTGACCCTGGACTTTGAATGTGGGCATGTATCCGTGCTCACGAACTACTCTGGTAGCTCCAAAGGATGCCATCTGGAAGCATGAATTGTACTTCCGTATATTTTCCAAGAAGTGTTTTGACTCTGGTGATGTTCCCAGCATGAGAGTCTTCAATGGTTGTGGTAGTGTTTGCAAATTTGGCAGTCGTACTTTCCCATGAGTGCAGCACAGTCCAGCAGATTCTCCTTTATACTTCTTTGCACTGCAGTATTCACATTTCTTATCCATGTTGCCAATGACAACAGAGGGATAGTTTTCATATTCTATATATAACATCATCCATCATCACTACATATAACACCATCCATCATCACTACATATAACATCATCCATCATCACTACATATAACACCACCCATCATCACCACATATAACACCACCCATCATCACTACATACAACACCACCCATCATCACTACATATAACACCATCCATCATCACTACAGATCGGTAAAGTAGTTTCCAAGATTCTCGTGCTGACATACATACAAAAAGACAGACTTCTTTGTTTTATATATATAGATAGCAGAAACACTGCCCTCCGGGCGGCTCTTTCGCTAGGTCACGGTTTGAAATATCGTACGTTTGACATACCTCGTTAGAATGGACTACCTACCTACCTACCTACCTAACTACCTTGTTAGAATGGACAGCCTAGAAAAGTTAGAGATCAAAGAAAAGTAAGCTGTAATGAGAGAGAGCTTAAGGATAAAATTAGCTATAATACGTGGGATGGGATATGACTTTTCAACCTCTGTGTGGTGTAACGGATGGAGGTTAGACGCACAGAAAAGTAAGCCATTATGAAAGAGAACATGAGGATCAAAATAGCTGTAAATCATAGTAGGGAATATGACTTCTACGTGTGTACGTCTGGGTTGTGTCGGATCGGGTTGGTTGGAGTTTTTTTGAGATCACTACATGTAACACCATCCATCATCACTACATATAACACCATCTATCATCACTACATATAACACCATGCATCATCACTACATATAACACCATCCATCATCACTACATATAATACCATCCATCATCACTACATATAACACCATCCATCATCACTACATATAACACCATCCATCATCACTACATATAACACCATCCATCATAACTACATATAACAACATCCATCATCACTACATATAACATCATCCATCATCACTACATTTAACACCATCCATCATCACTACATATACAGTGGTCCCTCGGTTAACGAGCTCCTCGGTTAACGAGATTTCGGTTAACGAGTTACCTCCCATAAGATTCTTAAATTCGGTTAACGAGCAACCCCTCGGTTAACGAGTTTCTTACCAGCCTACCTCAACAAGTTTTGGCTTGCACTGGGCGGTCAACCAGCTGTAGTAATAGTCCGCCAATACATTAATCGGTTCTAGGGCTTAAATTCCTTACTATTTTAGTAAATATCAAGAAGTTTATACTAGTCAATAATTTTAAAAGTTTAATATTAACTTTTTTAGTCATTTTAACAATTATTGAACATAATTGAAGGTAAAGTGACTAGTTTAATGCGCGGCATCCAGCCTCTTAACACAGCAAACAGGCGTTAGTCACTCTCTGTTTTCACTGGAGGTAACATCTTGCTTGAGACTCTCTTCAACTAAACGCTTTTTTCCTGTGTTTCCAAGCAAATTATTGGTCATTTTGAAATTTATTTTACATTGTTTGAATCCAGCATGGGGCCTAAGAGATCAAGAAATGCGATTTCAATTCAAACCAAGCAGGAAATCATAAAAAAACATGAACAAGGCATTAGAACAAATGCGCTATGCAAAGAATATGACATGTCGACATCAACTGTGTCGACATTTCTTGCACAGAAAGACAAATTTAAAGAAGTGAAAGTGAGAGACAAATCTACAAGTGTTTAAAAGTAGATCCCTAATTGCAGAAACTGAGAGGTTACTTATCATCTGGATTAGGGAAAAACAGATGAAAGGTGATTCAGTTTCTACTGAATTCATTACGAACATTTAAAGACAGATCAACCTGGTTCTTCAGGCATAGAATTTGAAGATTTTCGGGCCAGCAAAGGCTGGTTCGAAAAATTTAAGAAAAGAAGTGACATTTTCAGTGTTGTTAGGCATGGTGAAGCTGCTAGTGCTGATAAGGAAGGGGCAGCAAAGTTTTTAGATGAATTTAAAAAACTGATGGAAGAAGAAAATTATCTTCCACAGCAAGTGTTCAATGTGGACGAAACTGGGCTGTTCTGGAAAAAGATGCCCAGAAGAACATTCATCACCAGAGATGAAGCCTCTTTACCTGGGCATAAACCCATGAAAGACCGTCTCACTCTATTGCTTGGTGCCAATGCTTCAGGGGATTTCCGACTGAAGCCTATGCTTGTCTACCACTCTGAAAACTCCAGGGTGTTCAAGCAACAGAAAGTGATAAGAACAAAGCTTGGAGTTTATTGGAAGTCCAACCATAAGGCATGGGTGACAAGACAGCTCTTTAATGAATGGGCTGTTGATGTGTTTTGCCCTTCTGTCAAGAGCTACCTAACCACCAATAAACTCCCTTTAAAGGCTCTTCTCCTCATGGATAATGCTCCTGGTCATGACCCTGACCTTGCCAGAAATTTGGAGTATCAATTTGACTTTGTGAATGTGTTGTTTTTACCTCCAAACACTACATCAATCATACAGCCAATGGACCAGAATGTGATCAGCAACTTCTAGAAGTTGTACATGAAGAAAATGTTTAGGAGGTGTCATCAGGCAACTTCCAATGATCTTGAACTAACACTGAAACATTTCTGGAAGACACAATTCAACATCCTGGAGGTTGTAAAATTGATTGTGTCATCATGGCAAGAAGTCTCCACTAGATCCCTCAATTCTTCATGGAAAGCACTGTGGCCATCAGTAGTCCATGATTTTGGGGGATTTGAGGAAGAAACAGAGTTGGACCAGGAGATTGTGTCCATTGGTCAGTCATTGGGCCTTGAAGTGGAGGAGGAGGATGTGGAAGAGCTTGTGATGTCTCATGAGGAGGAACTTACTCCTGATGACTTGAAGCAACTGGATGAGATGTTACAGGTAGAGGCTGACAGTGGTGAGGAGGAAATTGAAAGTGATGACCATATGTCAGCTAAACAGTTGAAAGATGTGATTTACCACTGGGAGAAGTTCAGGGAACTGGCTTCAAAGCACCCAGAAGTGGAAAAAACTGAACTAACTTTGTGTCATGTTGAGGACTCAGTGGTCTCCTTCTTTAAACATAAGTTAATGGTGAGGAGGACAGATGCCCCACAGACCACAATTGACACTTTCTTCAGTAAAAGGCAGAGGGAACAAGATGCTATCCCTCAGCCTTCCACTTCAAGAAGGAGAGAGGATGTTCATGGTGGAGAATCTGTCAGTCCAGAGGTTCCTGACATTTTCATGGAAGGTGACTAACCTTCCAAGAAGCAGTAAAATGCTTCTCCTCCACCTCCACTTCCTTCTCTTCTCCCTTGTCCTCCTCCACCTCCCACTTCAAATTCACATCATCATCATCATCCAGGAGCCTTCTACATACACATCTCAAAGTAAGTGAACTTTTCTACCTTTTTTGTTGAATTTTGGCACTTTTCGATGAGCTGGAACCAATTACCCAAAAACCCATTGAAACAATGGTTTCGGTTAACGAGATTTTCGGTTAACGAGCAACCTGCTGGAACGGATTGTGCTCGTTGTCCGAGGGACCACTGTAACACCATCCATCATCACTACGGATCGGTAGAGTAGTTTCCGAGATTCTCGTGCGGACACACACACAAACAAACAAACACACAGACATACTTCTTTGTTTTATATATATATATATATATATATATATATATATATATATATATATATATATATATATATATATATATATATATATATATATATATATATATATATATATATATATATATATATATATTATTGGAATAGTATAATTACGTGTGATCGCGGGCCCTTCGTGCCCGGTGAAAGTTTGAATGCTCGTGCTTGGCTAGCGCGCAACCGCCGTCCGGCTGACAGCGTACAGTGAGTTCTGCTATAACGCGTGTTTTGATAACGCGAATTTGCTCTAACGCGATTTATGAATTAGGAACGATATTTGTATAACCCGAACGCTTGTTTGCTATAACGCGATTTTTGCTTACTATTTCTCCAATTTTGTGGTATATTAACTGTGAATATAGTAAAGAAGAATATCAACACGAAGCGTTCTGGTGATAGAATTCCCGGTGATGATCGTAAAAGAAAGGATATAACACTTGAAGAGAAGCTCGATTTTATCAACATCAAAATCACCCTTCTCCCCCATCAAGTAAAGTGTTACATTTACTGTATGATTTCATTATTAGATATGAATGTAACATTTATTTAGACTGTGCTATCCTTTGTGTTAGGCAAACTACTAAATTTTGTCGATTTCGAGTAATCTGCACCTAACCCTATTTTCTCCATAAGCCCTGTTATTTCTATTACGCGATTTTCTATAACACGATATTTTACAAGAACACAATTATCGCGTTATAGCAGAACTACCTGTACAGCGAATGAGGGTGTGCCAAGTCGTTTTCCAGCGTAGATAAAATGGTTAATTAATGCCTTCCTAATAAACCATCGACATGGGACCAGGTTTGTTCCACTCTACGATTTTTTTTGCGATTTTTCCACCAAGTTTGATGAAAAACGATTGTGCCGTTTTGGCTGGCCAGAACAGACAGACAGTCACACAGACACATGGCTGTTCCTATAGTATATATTAGATTCACCGTGTTATACACTTTAAGACCTTAACTATTGAAGTGCGATAATAACAAACAAAATTCCCCCCTTCTCACACCATCACATTCATCATAAATTCATAATTCTTGTGTTTGTTTTTTTCATTCTGTGCCTAGGCCTGTATCCTCATGAACAACATACAACAATTAAGAGTTCAGCTGGAGAAGATGGGCGGCAGGAACCCATATCGAGGAAGACGTCGCCACCATCCTCGGTGAGCTGCAGGGTACTGTACCCTCAACACAGTCCTGGATCAACTCGCTCATCAGTTTGCCAAGAGGTAAGTTGTATACCATGTCTACTGTTCCCCTAACCTAAACCAATCAGTGTGATATAGTGTTCTCTCCTAGTTCAGCTACAATGACTAAAGTTTTATTGAACATTTTATAACCAAACATCTTACATTAATCCTGTGTTTACTGTCGATGAAGTCTCTCAGTACTAGTCATAGTTCAAGGGAGCAGTTTTATGGACACTCGCTCCAATAGGCCACTTTACGGAGGGACTGGATGAATTTGAAAATGAACGCGGCGATTCCTGTTGTTATATTGTCTCACACAAGATCATAATAATATTGTTTGTAGTGAGTGTACATCATTAATAAATAGTGTTCAATGTATTACTATTATTAATTTAATAGATCCAGGGTCACTTGTACAGTTAAGGAATTTTCAGCTTCAATAAGATCACAGTTCATCAACCTCCATTACAATAAATGCACTTTCTTATTCCTCATTCAGCTTGGAGGGTCATATTGCTGTAAGAAATGGGCAACAAACTGGCAGCAGTGAAGGGCACAGGCCAGGTGCAGCCGTCACAATGCAACGAAGTCGCCATCGAGGCGGACGACGCATTAGTGTCCTCGATGGACTTGCTGAAGGTCTCCTTCACTCTTTATGACCAGTCCTGTGAGAAGACAGTGCTGAAGAGACTCCCGAAGGAACTGTGGAAGATTGTCATGACCGCGATGGAGAAGACGGTCGTGCCGCCTCCCGTGACCGACGAGGTGGTAAGATTTTCTTTGGTTAATTCGTCTCCGTATGGATTTTCTCATAACTGGATCATAACTCTCGGTTCTCTTTCCAGGTACCAATTTGTGTTGACTTTTCCCATATACAGAGAAAAGTTACTGTGGCAGAAGTATTTATAAACAGGATCATTGTTTTAGTCCATAACCCTATAAGATTATTTTTTTAAGATGTGTAATAAACAGGAAGCTAAAGATCAGTAATGTCTAATCATTGTGAAGAACATCATACCAATTTTCAGGTTCCTGTAACATACAGTAATTATTTATGGTACTTGAATAAAAAAATGAGTCTGTGTTCAGAATTTGTGTCTGCTTCATTTTAAAGGGATTGCTGTATCATGAATAAAATACAGAGGATGTGTTCTTTACCTCCTGTAATATACTGTACAGTCAACCCTTGCTTTACGCGCTTCCACGTTCACGCGTTACCCTGCCGAACACGGAATGCTCACTTTCCGTGGTGTGTGTACCCTTTTACGCGGAGAGCGGCGCGAGCAGGGTGCGCACAAAGTCGCCCTGTCATCAAAACATTACCGAGTTCTTCACCCGCCACCCACCACGGCCGGCCCAAGTCAGTGATAGTGATAATGATAGTGAGGATATGGACTTATATGGACTTTGAGGGGTTTGACAAAGAGGCCCTGCAAGCCTCTGTGGTGGACAGTGATGCAATTGATACAAGTGATACAGGTGAGGGCCAATAATCTGCTCTCTGCCTCGGAACCAACCCCCCATCCCCGTGTGCCCAGCCATTTTTTCTACTAATGTAAGTGTTAAAAAACCTAATATTATTGATATTTCTCTTAATTATTAATTGTGTGTGCATACCATCATAAAATGAAGAAGTTATTTTTACTACAACGTAGATATTGTGTCTGAAAAAGTGGAGTTTGGGGGTCGGCCCGGTCTCTATTTCAATTAATCCCATATGTTATGTTGTTCACTTTACGCGTTTCTCACTTTACGCGGGCCTCCGTGGGTTCAATTGACCGCGTAAAGTGAGGGTTCACTGTAGTATTTGTTTTCTCACCTTTAGCGGGTACAGAGAAGTGATTTTTTTTTCTTTTGTAGTGTACGGAAATAATTTTTGAGCCATTTGCCCTTTTTTTTTTTTTACGTACTGTATTGGTGTATAGTTAGCTGAAACACGACAGCAGTAATAACTTTTGAGAGCATTTCCTGCCATACGTGAATCTGTGTGCCACCAGTTGTGTTTCTTTTTACAATTTGTTTTGATATTTTTGTTTTCAAATCCGTTGCCTGAGTACAGTTAACCCTCACTTTACGCGGTTAATGTAACCCGGAGGGTCCCGCGTAAAGTGAGAAACGCGTAAAGTGAATAACATAACATATGGGATTAATTGAAATGGAGTCCGGGCCGATCCCCAAACTCCACTTTTTGACGACACACAACTATGTTGTAGTAAAAATATTATCTTAACTTTATGATGGTATGCACACACAATTAATAATTAAGAGAAATATCAATAATATTAGGTTTTTTAACACTTACATTAGTAGAAAAAATGGCTGGGCACACGGGGATGGGCGGTTGGTTCCGAGGCAGAGGGCAGATTATTGGCCCTCACCTGTGTCACTTGTATCAATTGTATCACTATCCACCACAGAGGCTTGCAGGGCCTCTTTGTCAAACTCCCCAAAGTCCATATAAGTCCATATCCTCACCATAATTATCACTATCACTGACTTGGGCCGGCTGTGGTGGGTGGCGGGTGAAGAACTGGTAATGTTTTGATGACTGGGCGACCTTGTGCGCACCATGTTCGCGCAGCTTACACAACATGGCGGATGGCGGGAGGTTTGGATCCAAAAATGGCGCGGCTCGCCAGCCGCTCTCCGCGTAAAGGGGTACACGCACCGCGGAATGTGAGCATCCTGGGTTCCGGCAGGGCACCGCGTAAACGTGGAAACGCGGAATGCGGGACCGCGTAAAGTGAAGGTTAACTGTACCTCTGTGTCTTGCTTGACTAGTCCTCCCTTCTCGTCCCTCACTCATTTAAATGTTGCCTCAGTGCCACATTATCCAGCTTCTCTTGTCTCCCTGGATTCTTTGCATGACTAAATGATGTACTAGACTGTGTACGGGTAAACTGCAGATAAAGTGCCGTTTGTAAAGAGACACCGATGCAGGAGTACGTTATGTCTGTTTACTGATCGGTGATCACACACACACACACATTACAAGTTCTTTGTCCCGGTGATCAGGAACCCAAATTCTGGACTTTTATGACACTTGTGTCAGACACTGGAAATGTCAGCGGCAACTCTTAACAGTGTACAGTCGGCCCTTAACATACGCGGGTTTAACTTCCACGGATTTGCAAATACGCGGATTGCCGCTGGAGGAATATACATTCAAAGGAATATACATTATTCAAATCGCACGCGACAACACACACACACACACACACACACACACACACACGTCAGTGAAGTTATCAAATCCTCCAGTTTCCGTCTCCACCTCCTCCGCCGACTCAAGTCCCTCGGAGTTCCTGCACACGAGCTCCTCAGTGTTTACACAACATTCATACTTCCCAAGCTCACCTATGCCTCCCCCACCTGGTCTTCCTCCCTAAATGCCACACAACGTAAACACCTAGAAAAAGTGCAAAAGAGGGCATGCAAGATTATTCTCTCCCCTTCCTACTCCACATATCAAGAAGCGCTCAACACACTGACCCTTTCGACTCTCACTGACCATCACCACGACCTCATCTGCAAATTTGGTAAGAAGCTTCTACACCATCCCGACACCGGCTCCTACTACCACCTGAGATCCTTGTCCGAGAATTGCTGTTCGACACCACAACCGCATCCAGCCCATACGTGCACGAACTGATCGCTATAAGAACAGCCCAGTCCCAACCATTGTAAAAATTATCAATAACTTGTAATAAATCAGTGTATTCACTCCCAGTAAACACTGCTCCTTACACTGTCACTATGTTGAAATGAACTGTAGTTTGAGCTTTTCCCCATCTAGTTATTATATGTCTCATTTGTGTCACTTATGTTACTTGTATATTATTTGTAATTAAGTAACCCATTCCCCAAATATGTAACTGTATATTTTCAGCCTTCTGGCTGCCAAGCTCTTCAATAAACCGTTAATTATTATTATTATTATTACACACACACACACACACACACACACACACACACACACACACACACACACACACACACACACACACACACACACACACACACACACACACACACACATGTCGCCCGCGCCACTCCGCGTTCCCTCAGTCAGTCAGTCTCACTGTAACCACGCTTGTGTTGACATCAGCATCGTAGTTGCAAAAATATTACATTTCCGTGAATGTATTATATCAAGCACAGTATGAATAGAATATCACTAATATAACAGTATTTTAACCGAAAACTATTAAAAAAACGAGTAACATATCTTGAACATCGAAAGGTTAGGTAAAGTCTTTTGTTTTCATGTAGTTTATCCTAATTTACATTGAAATACAATACGTTTCAGCAAAACTACTATAGCTAGACCCTGACTTACGACGGGGTTAGGGACCCAAATCCAGGTCGTAAGTCCGAATGGTCGTAAGTCCGACATAGATGAAAAAAAAAAATTCAATTTTTTTTTATTAAAAAATCTACAATGAAATAAAGTACAGTAAAAGTAATAAATAATGAGGAATGGATACAGTACAGTGAAAGTAATAAATAATGAGGAATGGATACAGTGTGACAGCACTTACCTTTAATGTAGTCAGCTGAATGCACATGGGGCCCCCATAATTTTCTAATTATACATGGAGACTACATTAACTGGAAGCGTTTCGGTATAGAAAATGCATGTGTCATTTGAAAAAAAAAAATAAAAAAAAAAATGGCCACAACTGCGGCGGTCGTAAGTCCAAGCAGTCGTAAGTCGGGGTCTAGCTGTATTTATTTCTGAGGATATGGAAATGTAATATTTTTGCTGAAATGACGTACGTATTACAGTGGAAAGTGACGAAAGCAATGACTTTCGCTTTCTTTCGTTCAAAAGATGTTACCGTAATCGCTTTTCGAATGGTTTTCAGTTAAAGAACTGTTGTACAGTAGTACCCCGATTTACGCGGTCAATTGAACCCACAGGGTACCGCGTAAAGTGAAAACCGCGTAAAGAGAACAACAGAACATATGGGATTAATTCCAATAGAGACTGGCCTGACCCCCAAACTCCACTTTTTGACGACACACAACTATGTTGTAGTAAAAATATTATCTTAACTTTATGATGGTATGCACACACAATTAATAATTAAGAGAAATATCAATAATATTAGTTTTTTTAACACTTACATTAGTAGAAAAGATGACTGGGCACACAGGGATGGGGGGTTGGTTCCGAGGCAGAGGGCAGATTATTGGCCCTCGCCTGTATCACTTGTATCAATTGTATCAGTATCCACCACATAGGCTTGCAGGGCCTCTTTGTCAAACCCCTCAAAGTCCATATAAGTCCATATCCTCACTGACTTAGGCCGGCTGTGGTGGGTGGCGGGTGAAGAACTCGGTAATGTTGTGATGACTGGGCGACCTTGTGCGCATCCTGCCCGCGCCGCTTCCCGCGTATATGAGTAGATGCACCGCGGAAAGTGAAAGTTCGGTTCTGGCGAGGCACCGCGTAAATGAGAAATCGCGGAAAGTGAAACCGCGTAAAGCGGGGTAATGCTGTATTACAGTAATATTCTATCCTAATTCACTTGTGATGAAACAGTTTTTTAACTGAAAATGATTCGAAAAACACGTGTACCTTCTAGCTGATACAGCAGAGCCCTGGTCGCAATCAGACCAGAAATTATTGTGAAATCTTTTAAGAAATGTGGGATTTTGAATGGTCTTGATGGAACAGAAGACGACTTGTTGTGGGATTATGAGGCTAATGAGAGCGTGAATGAGGATGAAGATATTGATGATCCTATGGCTGATGATGGTGTTGATCCATATGACGATGCTGTTCAAGGAGAGGACTGGGAGGAGCTGTTTGGTGCTGATGACAAGGAAAATGATTTTGATGGATTTTAATGAAAATATTCAGAAATATGGTATCGTAGTATTTATTCAAGTGAATTAGGATAGAATATTATTGTAATACAACAGTTTTTTAACTGAAAACCATTCGAAAAGCGATTACGGTAAAATCTTTTGAACAACGAAAGAAAGCGAAAGTCATTGTTTTCGTCATGATTTTATCCCACTTTCCACTGTAATACGTACGTCATTTCAGCAAAAATATTACATTTCCATATTTATTTCTGAGAAAATATTCATTCAGTCACAGTTAAGGTAAAATATACTTGTGATGTAATATTTTAATGAAAATTCCCGGTATTTAGAAATACAGTATCGTAGTTTTGTTTTGTTTCAAATTTAATTAACAAAGATTGAAGTTTCAAATGTAATGAACAAAAATTTATGTATCTATAAATAAACTTTAAAAATTAATACTTTATGTTTTACATCATCCTCTGCTACC